ACATTTCCTGTGGGAGAATCTTCCATTGATATCTTTTAGCTGACTGAGAATTATTATAAGTAGACACTGTGAAAGCAAATATTTCCTTTTTTTTTCTTGTAAAGGTATAGTGAAGAAACAATTTTTTAAATCAATATCCACAGCAATATGGTTTTCTATAATATGCTTTAGGTTCTTTAATTGCTCTGGGAAGGAGTTTCTCTATGATGGCAGTAGACAACTGAGCCAGATTTGACACAGAGGCCCCTCAAGGAATTTCTCAACAGCAAAGGAGTACCATGAATATTCCTTGTTGATCTACATTCATTCGTTCAATGCCTGCCTTTGCCACACCTTCCACATAATTCTGAATGGATTATTCTTAGAAAAAAAAACATTATTTCTAGGAATACCCTGTCTACAATCCCTTTTAAAGTGACCTTTTTTGCCACAATTATAACATTTGCCATTTTGATTTTTTTTTCTCAAACCTCTGGAAATGACCTCTCCTATCCATGCATCATCTTGTTCATGAGATTCAATATTAATTGTATTCCTTCAAAGGTTCTAACCTTACCTTTAACAGCCTAATTATTCTTTTGTATAGAGAATCGGCATTTTCAAAAGCCAGAGGTTCAATTATTATTTGTCTAGCTTCTGAATTTGGTATCATCCCATTTGCTGCTGAAGTCAGTCTTATAAAGAAACCCATAAAGGCTTCCATTGAACCCTGTATAACTTTAGTAAATGACTCAATTTTCTTTCCTACTTATCCAGTTCTGTCCCATGCATTCAAAGCTGCTGTGCAGTGTAAACCTAGGGTGTGGTCATCACATACAGCCTGCCTTTCTATAGAGGCATAGTCTCCTCCAAGAATTTGATCTTGGGTGATTTTCCTACCTCTCACTTTACTCCGTTATTCAATAGTCTTAGCCTCTTCTCTGAACCAGGCACTCCATGGTAATTGTGGACCAGGTTCTAAAACAGCTTTAACCAAATCAATCCAGTCTTTAGTAGGGATAATTCTACTGACAGTTTAACATTTGCTTCACGAAGGGTGAATGCATGCCATGAGACTACTGCTTCCTTGAATCTCTTTAAATCTAACAACGGCACAGGAGTCCAGTTAGCTTTAACAGAGCCTCTGCCATATGCCTATTCCTGTAAGGAATATATGAAGGTTGCTGTCTGGAACCTTAGGCTGCTGCTCTCTGTTATAAAGCAGGGCTGAAATTGGCTCTGCATTCAACTCTTCTGTCCGGGTTTGAATCTCTCTATGATCTGCTTTACTAGATTTTCTAAGGCTTATATCTTAGCACTCAGATTAATCAACTTTTCTAGTGAGAAGACAGAAATGATAATGCTGACATGTTTACAACTGATATTACGTAAATCCCATCTAAATATCCTCTCATTTACTCATTCCATTCTCAAACTGTCCGGCATATTATCACACAAAACCCAAATCTCTCCACTATAATGGTTTTTCCCTTTTTTGAATGTGGGAAAAAACTCTCCTTTTTAACTGATTCCTCCCTTTAAGAATTCTTAATTGTCTTAACAAACCTGCCAGCGATGTTGATGAAGGTGTAAGACTGACTGCTGCTGCGTAGAACAGGAAACGCCTGACTGGGTTTCAAGGAAGCTGCCTAGTTTGGAAACATCCCGAGAAGGGGGTTTAGGGAGAGCCTGCAACCCACAGTGAAGAGAGAGAGAAAGTAGAAGAGGAGGAGGAGGAGGAGGAGGGGGAAGAGGAGGAGAAAGACTAGGCGGGTGGGGCTGGAGTCCCACGTGCAGCCCCAACCTGTGTTGGTGTCTAAAAAGCCTCAGACAAATGACTTTTTCATGAATTCATACCCCAAACATTGGGTGCCAAATGTAGCATGAATAATAAAAACCCAGGGACAAAGAGTGGGGTTCAATTCAAAAGCCAGAAAAGCAAAGCATCTAAGCCACCTATACCAAGACTGGTTGACCACAGACTAAGTAGACTGGACAGACAGAGCCTCTCTCTCCTCCCATTTTATTTTCCCTCTAATGCTGGGATTAAAGGTGTGAGATACCACCATCTTAATTTGTTTCTGCATTGACTTTATGACCCTGAACTCATAGAGAGCCACCTGCCTCTTTCTCCCAAATCCTGGGATTAAAGGTGTGTTCCACCACTGCCTGACCTCTAGTGGTTTAGCTTTGCTCCTATCTTAAGGCAAGCTTTATTTAAACATAAATAAAATATCACTATAAGAAACCTTTGTCACCTCTTTGACCAAAAACTCACTGAGATTTTCATATGATAACCCATGTCTTCTGAGGGAAGCATTACCCATCCATGCAGGGTCCCTGTGCTCAAAGCCTGTCTATTAAAAAAGCAATAATAATAAGTTTTAAGAAAATCTATATAATCTATGACATCGCACATAGAAGGACATTGCAGGGCGGCGAGTTTCTACATAAGGAATTAACAGAATTTATAAAGAAAATAAGACATATCAAACAAAATTATTTTGAGAATGGATCTTTCTATGGAGTCCAGGATAGCCCCAAATTCACAATCTTCCTTGTCTTAGCTTCCCAAGTGTTCTGTTATAGGTCTAAGCTACTGTGCTACGTTAAGTAGACTTCAGTAAAAACATATAAACATAGCTGTGAGGGTGGCATATGCCTGTAATCTAGCATCTCAAGGCTGAGGTCAGAGGGTCAGGAGTTCAAGGCTAGTCTCAGCTACATAACAAGTTCAAGACTAGCTTGGGCTGTTTAAGAATATTTTCTCTCAAAACTCAAAGCAAATAGAATTTAAGTCTTTGATTGTTAAGTAACATTTACAACAAGAGATAACATCTATAAATATAGAAAGAGTGCCCTCAAGTCAACAAGAAAAATGATTGACAAGCCTCATTGTAAAAACAAAGGACAGAGAAGAGGCCAACACATGAAACTGTATGCAGGGACATACAGTGGGTCGAAGAGGATGGTGTAAAATCCAAGGAGGCTCCAACCATCTGGGTGGGACCAGAACAGGAGGATTCTGAGGTGAATACCCCTCTACATTTGTAAATAGACCGGGCTCTCATGAAGGGCAGAGCGGACCATATTTCACATGTACAAACTCTTCAGCACGGTGGCTGCATTTTTAGGAGTTGATCCTAAAGCAGTAATTAAACAAAGATGCCAGAAAAGACATCCAGGTCAACTCTCCAGAATCAGGAAATAAGAAAGGAAGCCAGGCACTGTGGTTCACACCTGCAGATTCAGCCCTCAGGAGCCTGAGGCTGGAGCATGGAGGGTTCCCGGCCTATCTGGACTAATTAGTAAGAGCTTGTCTCAAAACAAACAAACAAAAGACAAACTAAACAAATAAAACAGAGATGTCCGTGTGTTAGCGTGATTGCCTAGCATGCAGGAAGCCCTGGGTTTGATCCCTAGCATTACCAACCAGCATAGACCAGCATGCCTGTAATGCTGGCACATACTGGCACTTGGGAGGCAGAGGCAGGAGGGCCAGCTCTTTAGGGTCATCCTTGGCCCAGCAGCAAGCTAGAGGCCAATCTGGCTGACACGACCCTGACCAGACTCCAGACAGAGGGCTTGTTTTCTGACCTCGTCTCCTTCTTCTCACCCTGGCTTCTGACTTGAGAATTCTCTTGTGTTCTGCCCTGGCCTGGGTGTGTCAGAGGATGACAAGGGAATCGTGTTGTTCATCAACCAGGCATGGATAGAACTGGCCATGCCTGGTTGTAACTCTGGCCAAATAAACAAGAATTGCTTCCATAGCTCTGGGGCCTCTGATTTCAATGATTATCCATTTAAGCCTCTTCTGGGATACTTGGGGAGATAATTTCTCACCCAAAGAATGGAGCAGGGGTGGGGGGACAGAGAGACAGAAAAACAGAGAGAGAGAGACAAAGAGAGAGCAAGAGGGAGGGAGAGTGAACTGTAATTTGTCTAATTTTTCTGTTTCTCGTTTGGGGCTAAGGGCATTCATTCTCATACAAGCTTTCTGATTGGGTGCATCTTAATCTCCAGTGTGCACATGCAATAGAGTCGGGCCAGTGCCGTCTTCGGCAGGCACATATGTGACTTTCAAGGGTACTGGACCCAGCTCTGACATGGGAGTAGTGAAGAAGGGCTGGTCCAGCTGAAGTGCTCAGAACTGGTCCCATCAGATCAGTCCAACGTAGGGCACTGTAGGATGGGAACAGGAAATGACCACAACACGACTCGCTCCTGTAAACCTCCAAGTGCAGGGTGGTGAATCAGTGTCCCGGGGAACTTTGCTGGGATTGCAAGGTATGAAAGACATGTGACTATTCTAAGATCGAGATAGGGCGCTAAGTGAAAAAAGAATTTTGCCGTGTGCTCTTATGAAAGAGCAGGCTGTGGCTATACAGAGGCGGGGTGCCTGCCTAGCACGCATGCGTGCATGCGGCCCTGGGATCCCGCCCATGTTATTCCTGCTTCCGTCACTGTCTTCCTTCTTAGTGGATGTCACTCAAGTCAAGGCTGGGAGTAGAGGCTGGACCATCACAGAGTTTTGTTCTCCCTTTCCAGGCTGGATGTCCAGCCTTGGCAGAAGAACGACTGGAGCCCTGCTCCTTTCGTCTCTGGGAGACTGAAGCAGAGAGCCACACATCCTCGCTGCCCAGACAGGCGCCCCTTCTCCGTCTCATCTGCCCTGTGTCCCAGAACAGCAGTGAGCTAGTTGACTGGCCTGGAAGTCCCTGTCTTCTGCCTTTGGCCCACAGTGGCCCAGGGACCGATCCTCCCCTCTGCTGAGTGGCAGCAAGAGGGAGGGAAGAGGCTCATCTCCAGCTGGCCAGGGAGATAGGTCTTCTTGTGCCCATGAACCCCTCCTCCCCACGGGCCTGTCCACAGGGGCTTGGGATCAGCCAGAAAAGTCAGGCAGCTCACTAGAGCCAGGGGACATGAGGTTCCTTTGCCAGACTAAGTTCTGTCCCTGGGAGCTGCACGGTGCCTAGCCCCACCCCTTGCTCTGTGCCCCCCCCCCCTCCACTGCCGGAGACTTTGACCTTGTGTTCCAGTCCTAGCTGGTGGGCTGAGGGCTGAAGTCAACACACCCCAGAATCTGGAACATTCGTGCCGGAAACGGGAACCTGCAACCACACACCTTTTTCCTCCAGACACCTGGACCAAGCGGTAAGTGGCAGATGAATGTGTGAACTGGGACAGGGAACAGAGCAACGTGGTGACTTTCCCAGGCCAACAACTGTGCTTGAGATTGGTGACAAAAAAAAAAAAAAGAAAAGAAAAAGAAAAAAGACAGTCAAGAAAACATCCTTCAGAGAGATGGCACCGTGCCCCATGGAGTCAGATGGGAACCGCAGGTTAAGAACGCTACCTCTCCAAGCCTCAGTTTCCCTTGCTCCAGAACACAGAGTCTTTTGCTTGCTTCTTTGTTTTCCGAGGCCGGGTTTCTCTGTGTAGCCCTGGCTGTCCTGGAACTCACTCTGTAGACCAGGCTGGCCTTGAACTCAGAGATCCACCTACCTCTGTCTCCATAGTCCTGGGATTAAAGGCATGCACCACCATGTCCAACTCAGAACACAGAGTCTTTGATCAAAGTTCTTTATTATATTATTGATTAATTGATTTGGTATGGGGGTGACTCACACTTGCCACATTCTACATGGGGAGGCCAAAAGAAAACTTCTGGGACTGACTTCTCTCTTTCCACCATGTGGGTCTCAGTGAAACACAGGCTGTCAGGTGTAGTAGCAGGGACCTTCACTAGCCAAGCCGTCTTGAAGGCTCTGGGATGTGGGGTCTTGACTCATCTTACAGGGTGAATTTGAGAATTAGAAGGCAGATGGATATGAAATGCCTGACGCTGACCTGTGCCTAGTAAGTGATAAAGGGGTCATTATCATTACACTGGGGAGGGGCTTGGTCCTCAGTCTCTATGACTGTTGTCCCAGTTTAAAGGTGAATTGTACAAGGTACAGTCACTTGGTGTAGCCTGGCTGAGCTGGCTTTTTGGTTTTCACAAGTCCTTCATGTTCTATTAAGAGCATGTGACAAAGGCACACGATGCTTCCTCCGATTGCTTTCTAGGGGACAAAGGTTATAATCAGAGACACAAAAAGAAAAGTCAGGGCCAGCTGATCTCTGTCTCTGCTTAAATATTTCTAGAGTGCAGCGAGATTCACTCAGGCCGAACTAGATGAGATCTGAGTGTGTCCCACACAGGCGGTAGGTGTGGCTGTCAGCTGGTCCTCTTCAGCTTCTGTCCCTGGTTCAGGATGACAATAAAGGACATTTCTCCTAGAGCAGTAGACTGTAGGATGAAGGTGTTGGGCTGTCTGCATTGTGTCTTTTCGTCTTGTGTCTTTACTGATGGTGAGTCCAAATAGGCTTTCCTATGTCATGTTTATGCTGACTTTATTGTCTCTCTCTGTCTCTCTCTTTCTGATCAATGTAATAACTCTACTGGGTCATCTCTGAGGATATACCTTCCAAGCACCTGTGTTATAGCAACTGGCCATAAATGGGAGCATTGCATCACTAGCTTAAAAATGTCAGCAACTGCGAGGAAACGGTTGACTTAATCCCAGAGCTAAGCACGTGCAGGCCCATTCATGACTGCATGCATGGATGATCTTACCTGGGGCTGGTCCACGGCATCAGCAGTCTGACTCCTGCTTCTGATTAGGACTGCACACCTTCACACTGCGCTCCATGACAAGCTACCTGTGTCGTGTCAGATGTGACCATTGATAGCACATGCTCTCCTCTTCTGGGCGGGCTGGGAGCTGCTCTGCCTTACCCAGTCGGGTCCAGTGTCTTGGTCAGGCTCACACAATCAGTGTATGTCAGAGCTAGGCTGAGCTGAGCATGTCTGCCTTGCTAATCCATCAGACTATAGTTTCTGTGTACTGTGAACTGTGTACTGAGTACTGCGTGCTGTGTGCTGTGT